CACCACACACACACCACACACACACCACACACACACCACTCACACCACTCACACACCACTCACACTGATACACCACACTCACTTACACACCACTCACACCACTCACACACACACACCACTCACACTGATACACACACTCACTTACACACCACTCACACCACACACCACACACACCACACACATCACACACCACACACACACACCACACACACACCACACACACCACACACAGCACACTCACACACCACACACACCACACACACACCACACACATCACACACACCACACACACCACACACACACACCATACACACACCACACACACCACACACACACACCTCACACACACCACACACACCACACACACACCACACACACACCACACACACACACCACACACACACTCACACACACCACACACCACACCACACCACACACACCACACACACACACCTCACACACACCACACACACCACACACACACCACACACACACCACACACACCACACACCACACACACCACACACACACACCACACACACACTCACACACACCACACACACCACACACATCACACACACCACACACACCACACACACACCACACACACACCACACACACCACACACACACCTCACACACACCACACACACCACACACACCACACACACACTCACACACACCACACACACACCACACACACCACACGCACACACCACACGCACACACCACACACACACCACACACACCACACACCACAGCAACTCCACCTCGTTACTGATGATCTTGTCAGCAAGGAGCGTCAACCACCACATCGGCATCGTCATCGTCATCATCGTCATCATCGTCATCATCGTCATCATCACCGCATCGTCATCATCGTCATCATCATCATCGTCATCATCGTCATCATCATCGCATCGTCATCATCATCATCACCGCATCGTCATCATCATCATCGTCATCATCGTCATCATCATCATCACCGCATCGTCATCATCGTCATCATCGTCATCATCATCGCATCGTCATCATCATCATCACCGCATCGTCATCATCGTCATCATCATCATCATCGTCATCGTCGTCATCATCATCGCATCGTCATCATCATCATCACCGCATCGTCATCGTCATCATCGTCATCGTCGTCATCGTCGTCATCATCGTCATCATCATCATCGTCATCATCATCATCATCGTCATCATCATCGCATCGTCATCGTCATCGTCGTCATCGTCGTCATCATCGTCATCATCATCGCATCGTCATCATCATCATCATCGTCATCATCGTCATCATCATCATCGTCATCATCGTCATCATCATCGCATCGTCATCGTCGTCATCGTCGTCATCATCGTCATCATCGTCATCATCATCGTCATCATCATCATCGTCATCATCATCGTCATCATCGTCATCATCATCGCATCGTCATCATCATCATCACCGCATCGTCATCGTCGTCATCATCGTCATCATCATCATCATCATCGTCATCATCATCGCATCGTCATCATCATCATCATCATCACCACATCGTCATCATCATCGTCGTCATCATCATCATCGTCATCATCATCATCATCGTCATCATCATCATCATCGTCATCATCATCATCATCATCGTCATCATCATCATCACCACATCGTCATCATCATCGCATCGTCATCATCATCATCGTCGTCATCATCATCGTCATCGTCATCATCGTCATCATCATCATCGTCATCATCGTCATCATCGTCATCATCATCGCATCGTCATCATCATCATCATCGTCATCATCATCGTCATCATCATCATCATCACCGCATCGTCATCATCATCGTCGTCATCGCGTGACGCTTTCAGATGCGCTGCTGCTCCTGCGGCCGTCTGGAACGCTCTTCCTGACCGACATTAGGAAGCCCCTGGGAGCTACGATGCACTTTGACGTCATCATCGTCATCGACATTCACAAACTCATCTCTCTTTACAACTGCGTGTTGTTGTTGTGTTTAGTTAGTTGTTGTTGTGTTTAGTTTGTTGTTGTTGTTGTGTTTAGTTTGCTGTCCTTACCCCCCGCACCTCCAGTTAGCACGGTTAGCTACGTGTGGTGGTGCGCACGAAATTCACCGCACACACACACACGTACACACGCACACACACACACACACACGTACACACAGACACACACACGCACACGTACACACGCACACACACACACACACGTACACACAGACACACACGTACACACAGACACACGTACACACACACACACGCACACACACACACACGTACACACACACACGCACACACACACACGTACACACACACACGCACACACACACACACACGTACACACAGACACACGTACACACACACACACACACGCACACACACACACGCACACACACACACGTACACACGTACACACACACACACGCACACACACACACACACGTACACACACACGTACACACACACACGCACACACACACGCACACACGTACACACAGACACACACGTACACACACACACACGTACACACACACACACACGTACACACACACACACGCACACGCACACACACACACGTACACACACACACGTACACACACACACGCACGTACACACACACACACACACGCACACACACACACACGCGTACACACACACACGCACACGTACACACACACACACGTACACACACGTACACACACACACACGTACACACAGACATACACGTACACACAGACACACACATACACACACGTACACACAGACACACACGTACACACAGACACACACGCACACACACACACACGTACACACACACTCGTACACACACACACATGTACACACACACACAGAGCCTCCTTTTGAATGTCGGCTGCCCGTAGTGAACCCAGGCAGCCGTGGGTCGCGAGACCTCCGGTGACATCGCAATGAATATACAAAGACAAAGATCCCCCGTGTAGCCTTAACAGACGGTCGGGGCAAGTGCTGTTAGCGAGCAGCACCTATGAAGGCTGCCGGCACTGTGGCACACGAGGGGGTGGGTGGCCAGCACCACGCCCGGCCGCCTTTGTCTCTCCAGTGGCGATGTTTACCACACACCGCACAAGGTTTACCACACACCGCACAAGGTACTCATTTAAGGCTGAGTCGACCTCGTGGTAGGCCCACCCAGTCGCGCACACAGCCACACACACAGATGCACATTTACTCACGCACGCACACGGTTACACACGCACACACAAGCACGCACACGTTGCTAATGGGAAAGAGTTAATTTAGTTAGCGTTCCCAGAGTTTTTAGGATTCCACAGAATTCCCAGAGTGTCCCAGCGGCAAATTAGGGCTCTCTGGGAAAGAGTGTGAGCAGCAGACCCACCGTGCCGGCAATTACAGAGCCTCAGCACCACACACAGACACAGATACACACACATACACACACACATACACACATACACACGCACACATACACACACATACACACGCACACGTACACACACACGCACACACACACGCACACAGACCGACCGTACCGGGCAATTACAGAGCCTCAGCACCACACACAGACACAGATACACACACACGCACACACACATACACACATACACACGTACACATACACACACATACACACGCACACGTACACACACACGCACACACACACGCACACAGACCGACCGTACCGGGCAATTACAGAGCCTCAGCACCACACACACACACAGATACACACACACGCACACACACATACACACATACACACGTACACACATGCACACACACACGCACACAGACCCACCGTGCCGGCAATTACAGAGCCTCAGCACCACACACAGACACAGATACACACACACGCACACACACACACGCACACACACAAACGCACACACACACACGCACACACACATACACACGCACACATACACACACATACACACGCACACGTACACACACACGCACACACACACGCACACAGACCGACCGTACCGGGCAATTACAGAGCCTCGGCACCACACACAGACACAGATACACACACACACGTACACACACACGCACACACACACGCACACATACACACACACACACACGCACACATACACACACACACGTACACACACACGCACACACACACGCACACATACACACACACACGTACACACACGCACACACACACGCACACATACACACACACGCACACACACATACACACACACACGCACACAGACCCACCGTACCGGGCAATTACAGAGCCTCAGCACCACACACAACAACAACAACAACCGCCATTCGCCACTAAGTGGCGGTGACGTCACCACGACGCTTGTGCCAGGCCAAGTGCACCTTGAGGCCACGTGAAATGTCGAACGCCCGCTGGCAGGAGGTCACGGGGCAGACCCAGGTGCCACGGGTCGACTGAGATGACTGAGATGACCGAGATGAGTGGCCGATGCACCACCTGTGCCCCCTACTGTGCCAACTTGCTGTGCTTTAGCCACCCGGCGCTCCGCTCGTTGTTGTGAGCGTCGCTCCTCCGCCCTCCGTTGTTGCTGGAGGGCGACTGCCTCCAACTGCCCAGTAGCGTCCTTCACGAGCCTCCTCCACTGAGGTCGATCTTGACACCGCTGGTACCAGTCATCGGCAAGTCCACTCAGCTCCACGTCCTCCTGTACCACATCACTCCATCTCTTCTCCAGCCCGTGCCGCGCCCGTTTAGCCCCCTCGATCCGGCCGAACAAAGGCTGTTTAGGCATGCGGTGGCTGGGCATGCGGGCTACATGACCCAGCCAACGCAGCCTTGCCTGCCGGAGGAGCTGACCGATGGGAATGCGACGTAGACACACTGAAAGATGCACGCACACACACAAATATAACTACACAGACACACACAAATATAACTACACAGACACACACAGAAATACACACACATTGTTGTATGACGCTGAATCTGCTGCTGCTCAAGATGTCGTTACTTTTTCCTTCTCTCTGTCCGTGTGGTCAGACTGGGTGGTGTGAGCGAGTGAGCGAGAGTGAGTGGGTGAGCGAGAGAGCGAGTGGGTGGGTGAGTGAGCGTGTGAGCGGGTGAGCGCGTGAGCGAGCGCGTGAGCGTGTGAGCGGGTGAGTGGGTGAGTGAGCGAGTGTGTGAGCGTGTGAGCGTGTGAGTGAGCGTGTGAGCGAGCGAGCGAGTGAGTGAGTGAGCGTGTGAGCGAGCGTGTGAGCGAGTGAGCGTGTTAGTGAGCGAGTGAGCGTGTGAGTGAGTGAGCGAGCGAGCGGGTGAGCGATGTCGCGAGTGCGCTCAGCGCCCCCGCAGGTGACGGGCATCTCCCCCAAGGAGGGAGCC